ATCGTTACTAGGCTAGTGCATGCCTACTCGCTAGGTGCTCCATGTTATGCACTTTACTGCGGCCTTCGGCGGGACAGAGACCCAAGATGGGTCCCGGCGGTTATCACTAAGGTACATGGTGCCCGCAGCGTCAACGTGCGTGTCTACCCCAGAGGACCAGTGTGGCGTAGACACATTGAACAGCTTCGCCCTCGCTATGGGGTTGAAGAGGACACGGATCCCGGAGAGACCCCCGAGTTATCAGTTTCGGGGCTATCCGCAACTCCGCCTATCCACCCGAAAGGACAGGACGGTTACCCACGTGGAGACACACCGAATCCTGAGTCAGCAACGTCAAGTGTAACCCAACCGAACCGAACGAAGCGTCGCAATCCGCGCCTTCCAGTAGGTGACGAATACGGGCCAGATCATCCGAGACGTTCCAGTCGACAGCCGAAGCCGCGGACCAAGGCTTATCTATAGGCTATACCCCCTTTCGCCTCTCGGTGGGCTCGAGGCTGGTGGGGAGGTGTAACATTATTGTATCATTTTCCCATATTAGGCCCAATAGGTGGCGCTATACTATTTCCTAAAGCCATGTACTTGCGTGGTCACTCTACTACGTGGCAGGCTGGAGAGTGGCTGGAAATAAATCCTTTGTTGAGTTTACATATTATACGTCAGCTCTTACGACTTTACTTCTAGAAATACAACAGTTAAATCATTTCAACGGGAGCGTTAAGAAGTTTGCGTTTCCTGCCTCCGGAGCGATCCATCGATTAAATTTCAACGCTAACCTGGGACGTGTCAGAGGAGGAAGAATGGCCGATGAAAAAGGAAAACAGCTGCAAACTGAAGCTGAAACGAAGAGGAGCAAAAGCCAAGTTCACTAGGTACGGCCACGGATTACAGATATTAATAACCGAATACCGCAGTAAGGCAGAGGCTAAGCGCCTTCGTCAAGTATGAGCAGGCCTACCAAGATGTAAATGGAGGCACACGATAAATTCACCATGACCGTCGAGGATGACAGTGAATTTGAAAAGGAAGAGGAATGGATGGAGGTATGTCAGAAAGAATTTATGAAGCTTCAGATTGCTGTCACTGCCCCATAAGTGAGGAATCTACGGATTCAGCTGATGAAAATCAGGCTGGGAATTGCCCAGTGGATGACACTAGCCTACCGGAGGAGATTAGAATAACTGAGACCAATCCTTCTCCATCACCAGCTGTCAGTAATCCAAGGAGCAGTTTTAAGATGGAAAGACCTAAATTACCAAGGTTTAGTGGTGATGTAAGAGACTACTGCGTATTCAAATCAGACTTTATGCATCTCATCGAGGGTAATTATGGAGAGAGGGATGCAATCACGATATTGCGAACCTGCCTACAAGGACGTCCTCTAGAGCTCATTAGGGGCATCGGGTCAGATTATGAAGCTGCCTGGGAACAGTTAGATTCCATCTATGGTGATCCGAGGGTTGTGGCAGATGCAATAATTTATGATCTTTCGAGGTTTAGGCCTCTTAGAGAGCAAGAGGATGGTCGTTTTTGTAAGTTAGTACAGCTGGTAAGAAGAAGTTTCAACACGTTGAAGGATGTTGGGCAAGTAAACGATATGGATAATAACAACATGTTAGCCATGATCGAGAGAAAGATGGGTTCAGACGATAGGAAGGTGTGGTTCAGACATCAAGAGATGGAGACAGATCCTGCTTCTCTCCAAATGTTACTTCGTTGGATGGGTGGAGAAATGAAAGCAAGAAAGTGCTTGAAGATCAGAAGTGACTCTCGTCAGGCAACAGTTGGTCATATGTCACAGGCCCAGGACAAGAATAATTTACAAGCTCAGCCCTCAAGTTTTCACCGATGCTGGATTTGTCAAACCGGAGATCACTGGATCGACCAGTGTAAAAAGCTGATCTCAAAGACAGCACCGGAGAGGTGGCACTTCCTAAAGGAGAATCATGGACTGTTTAGTTGTTTAAAAAGGCAGGAAGAAACCACCAGATGTCTACCTGCAAGAGGAGGCGCCAATGTCCAGAGCAGAAAAATGGGCAGAGGTGCAGATATTTCCACCACCCTCTGCTTCAGGCAGAGGCACAGCAATAGCCGAGATGAGAGTCAAGGTGGAAGAGTTGGTGCTTCAGTGGGCGCTAAAGAAGCCTGCTCCCACTAGTTACAGTAGAGGTTATGAACGAACAGAGGAAAGGTTAAGAGAGGAAATGTGCTACTAGATTCAGGCGCCCAGATTAGTCTCATAAGACAGGAATTCGCATCAGAGCTGCGGTTAAAGGGTGTGCCAACTACAATCACTGTCACCAAGATTGGAGGAGACGAGGAAGTACTGCAAACAAATAAGTACAGAGTGCCCATCAGAGAGGTGGAAAGGGGTGGCAAACCTTTCATGGTATGTGCAGTAGGAATTTCCTGCATCAGTGAGAATGTAGCTGCAGTGGAAGTGAATGATCTGGCCAGAAAGTTTAAGCTAAGACAACGAGATCTGCACAGAAGAAGTGGAAGTGTTAATCTCCTGGTGGGGATAGACCATGCCAGGTTACATGGTGGAGATATCAGAGAAGTTGGTCATTGCACTGCTCGGAGATCACCAGTCGGTTGGGTTGTATTTGGAACAACACCTAATGATATAGAACACGGTAATGCAGTTCTACATGTTAAGTTAACGAGTCCTGTCGATTTGACCGAATTCTGGACTGTAGAGACAGAAGGAATTAAGTCTAGTAATTGCAAGTGTCAGGAGAGTGGTCTGACTAGACAAGAAGCTATTGAAGGACAGGTAATCAGATCTTCAGCTCGTAAAGTTGGGAAGCAGTGGGAGATCGCGTACCCATCGAGTAAGGACCCGAACCTACTGCCAGATAGCAGAATTCAGGCGGAGAAAATTTTGTACCCTACAGAAAAGAGACTGACCAGTAAACCTAAGTATACAGAAGCTTACGACAAACAGATCCGAGAAATGGAGGAATTGGGCTTTGCTAAGAAGCTATCTGCAGAAGAGATGGACAAGTATCGGGGACCTGTACACTACATATCACACCATGCAGTAGTAAGGCCAGAAAAGAAAAGCACTCCCATCAGAATAGTTTTCAATTCTTCAGCATAATTCCAAGGCCACTGTTTGAATGATTATTGGTTAAGGGACCAGACCTCTTGAATAATTTAACTGGAGTTCTGCTGAGGTTCAGGGAGAATGCAGTGGCTATGTGCGCAGATATATCTAAGATGTATCATCGAGTGCTAGTACCAGAATCAAATCAGCAAGTACACAGATTTCTCTGGAGAAATATGGACTTACAGAAGAGGCCAGATGTCTGCATGATGAGAGTAGTAACGTTTGGAGATAAGCCAGCCCCAGCAATGGCACAGATTGCCCTTAAGTTATCAGCAGAGCAAGGAGAACGTATACATCCACAAGCTGCCTCTATACTGAAGAGAAATGTGTACATGGATGACATATGTGACTCAGTAAAAACAGAAGAAGAAGCAGAGAAACTCTCCGGTGGGGCAGATAAGCTGTTAGAAGACGCAGGTTTTAAAGTAAAAGGCTGGTTGTCAAACAAATCACGATATGGCGACACCAAGACAGTAAGCTTCTAGAGGAAATGACCCCAGAGAAGGTGCTTGGTGTAGTGTGGGACAGAGAAAGAGATGTTTTCTCATACAGAGTAAAGTTGGATGAGAAGCTAACAAAGTCCGAACATGATGAAGAAAGCCTGCCAAAGCTGACAAAAAGGAAAGTCCTGGGTCAGATAGCTTGTATATTTGATCCGATAGGATTTGCAGCACCGATCATAGTGCGAGCAAAGATAGGCATGCAGAAGTTATGGCAGAAAGGCTATGAATGGGATGACCCCTCCTCGAGGAAGAACAGGCTGAATGGACAGAATTGTTTGAAGAAATGAAAAGACTGAATGGGGTCACACTGGACAGATGTCTTACACCATCTAATGCTAAAAGCAAACCAGTGTTGTGCATATTCTGTGATGCTTCTGAAAGTGCATACGGTAAATGTGCATATCTGAGATGGCAGACGGGCGATGACAACTATGAAGTGCGATTTGTAGCAGGGAGGTCAAAGGTTGCACCATTAAAGGCGTTGACCATACCTCGCCTTAAACTTCAAACAGACAGGTGAGCAATTCGAATGACGTAAGAACCTGTTCTCCGATGGCCTTCTTTAGTGCACTCTTGCAACTCTTCACTAGGGCCTCTGCACATCCATTCTGGTGTGGTGCTGCAGGGGTGGTGAATCTCCAGCTTGTGCCTTTGTCTGCACAAAACTCCTGTAACTGCTGCTTATCCCACCCTCTGATGTTTTCACGCAGTTCCCGTTCAGCACCTACAAACTGTGTGCCATTATCACTCAGCAGGTAGGCGGGACGGCCTCTTACAGCAAAGAACCTCCTCAGCACTTGTAGAAATTCCATGGTCGAGCAGTCTGTAGCTAGTTCGAGGTGAACCGCTCTCGAGTTGAGGCATGTGAAAATTACCCCATAGCACTTTGCTGTTGTGTTACGGGTAATTCTTACTCTGAATGGGCCAAAATAGTCGCAGGCTGTGCTGTAGAATGGCGGGGTGAAAGGTGCGACTCGATGCCCTGGTAGTTCTGACATTAACTGAACTTCTACTCTGTGCTCGAGCTCTCTGCACTTTACACATCTATACTTCACAGTTTTTGCGAGTTTGTGCGCTTGTAAAATCCAGTATTTTCTTCTGACCTTGCCTGTCGTGGATGCCACGCCGCTATGCCCGATCTCATGCATGTGACGAGTGATGAGCAACGATATCCACTGATCCCGCGTGGTCGCAGGTCCGTATTGGACGTAGTGTCGGCTACAGGTGGAGCTGCTGTCGTTTTTCATGTTCGTCTGCATGTCGTCGCAGCGCACGAACATGAGCGTGGCGATCGTCTGTATGGTCAACCACACGGCCGTCGGCGACCTCAATCGCTCTGACGTCACGCCGCCGACGGTGGCCGAGTGCGGACACAACGTCACGCACGGACAAGATGTAAATATGGCGGCGTGTCAGCGCGACGCGTTTAGAATGAGAAGTAGTGTAATAATTATGCATGTATTGTTAGCTCTTGATTACATAAAGTCCTCTATGAATGCGTTGTGAGGCACCCTTTTTTGCTGTCAATTCTCTTTCTCTCTCTCTCTCTCATTCTCTCTTTCTCTCTTCCTCTCTGTCATTCCATTTCACTCTCGCTCTCTTTCTCTCTCTACCTCTCTGTCATTCCCTTTCTCTCTCCCTCTGTCATTCTTTCTCTCTTCCCCCCCCCCTTTCTCTCTCTCCATTAATAAACTGTCGCGTGTCGGTGGGTGTTTTTTTAGGACGACGGGATGCAGGACGGCGAGCACCTCTGGGACAAGCGCACGCAGGGACTCATCCTGTCCTCGTTCTTCTGGGGCTACCTCTGCACACAGATCCCGGGCGGCCTGCTCGCGAAGAAGTACGGGCCGGGATGGACGTACGCGGGGTTTCAGTTCACTGCCTCCGTGTTGACGATGCTGTGTCGGTGGGCGACGATGGTCGGCTGGCGGAGAATGCTCGCCATGAGATTTCTCTCATGTTCAAATTCAAATTCAAATTGATCATAATTCAGATGATTCAGATGATTCAGATAGTTATTCAGAAATTCAGTGATAATGCGCTGAGATGACCGCACTTGCAAACACTATACAGTATTGTATATGACTATCTGTAAGGTAGGCCATTACGTCCCAAGCGATACCTACACCGACCAACACAGTAGATTAGTAAATATGATACTGTTTGACTGCTTGGAATCGCGAAGTTCAAACACACACATTTGCATTAGAAAACTAATCGCTTTTCTTCGATGGTGTAGACTGTAGATCGTCTATACTCCAGTCAAGATGCTTCTGCTCACGTAGACGTGGTAGACTAGGACATTACCTGTTAGTTTTACCAGTGTGTACAAAGTATTTATCACGCAGGCCTAGTATTATAGGGTTATACTATGCTCTCTCTCTCTCTCTCTCTCTTAAATGGTTAGTTTCCCATTTTGCATACACGAACTTGCTTCGCATAGTAACTGCTTTCTTTATGCTTATCATTTGCTGCTTTCTCACACACACACACACACACGCACGCACACAAATACACCACCCCACAAACATATGCACTATACTTCTCTTGGTAATTGTTTATTATTGACGGTAGCACGATAGAGTATCTAAAAATAATTCAATGCTATAAATTATAATTATGCACAGGCGAGCGTAACAATACTGTAAGTTAAAAAGTCGATGGACAATAGCTTCTCTCTACCCTATCTAACCCTAACAGCAAGTCCGACTGTAATACTATCGGTGCGTCAGCAGGCGTAACAATGAGGGAGTTCTTGCTAATGAACATAAGATATGTTAAGGATGAATTATTTTTCGCACTTTCTTTGCTGCTAAACGTTTTGTTTTAAGCGTATTGGGTCATAACTGTAACAGTAAACAAGGGGAAACATGTAGTGAAAAGGGATATTCTCGTGAGTAGAACCTGATTATTTGAACAACCGGTTGCATACATGTAAAAAAAAGTCCGATTAGCTGCATGTCCCGAACTGCTTCAACGAAGACGCGTCCACTCCAACGCAAGGTGGCAGTCGATCTAAGTTTCAAGAATTATCACGGAAAATTCTGTTAATTGCGCATATTTAGCGAAAATGTCGTTCGTAAGTGCTATAGTGCGCAAGACAGTAGCTGTTACATTCTGTGCGTGATAAATTGATAATGAATATCCCAACTCGGCATCTTCGTATATAATCCAAACGTATTACTCAACACGTGAGATCTAGATAAAACTGTAAATATAAAATAGTACACACTAAATGTCATGTAGCTCATGACAATGTTCATTATATCTAAATTGTATAAGCGATAATATCCAAAAATATATCGAAATTAAGCGATCGAGAACAAAGAAAAAACACTTACAATGTATGGTGGCATTGTGAAAAATGCACGAGCGCACGCACATGTATAGACACGGCGCAAGAAAGATACCCACGCCACGCACAAACTGACGCATTTATATTAGCCTCGTTCACACGAGACCTCGTTTCATAATACGCGGATTTGGCATAATCAGAATCTGCAGACAAGATACGCGGCCGAGCGTTCACACCGCTGATTCGGTCCAGAATATGATATTTGCGAGCTGGCGAGTGCTTTAAACAATGAAGCGAACAATGCGAATAAAAATGCAATGCGCACTCACTGCTCGATAAAATACGTAGACTGGTCGCGCTCGGCAGTTCCACTCGCGTTCTACTGGAACTGTCGAGCGCGGACCAGTCTATAAAATACGCGCTTCAGAAATCGGGTATTTAGCGTTTCATACGAGGAAAATGCGCGTCCAAGAATTCGGTATTTCTCAGCACAGCAAACTATTCGGGGTCTGGGAAGCCGTCCTTTACATGAAATACGGATCTGTTTAGGAAACGCGTATTTCTTGGGCCTCGTATTTTGCCTCGTGTGAACGCTAAATACCGGATTTCTTGCTACGTGTGAACGCGGCTATAATCGCGACATGGAAACCCGTGAGTCACGTCACAAATCACAATGTTAAAACGAGCAGAAAGGGTGGTTTATCCTAGCTGAACTGCTTAAACACCGCGTGAAATAAGAACATACTGTGCTAAAATACTACAGTATGACACGCTTATTCCTAGCCGTACTGTTGTAAACGTCAATGTTGATCAATACAGAAGCCGAATTATTTCAGTCGTAAATTCATTATAATAGTTTATTATAATTATAAATTATTACATTTATTTCGAACCGAATAAAACCATTTCGGGGAAGCTTCCGCTTGAGGTGATTAAAGAAAATATGAATAAATTAATTTTAATATATTATAATATTAATATACTTTTTTCATATTATAAATCTTATATATTAATAAATCACTGTAAAACCATCTCAGGGAATGAACATCAGGGAGGACACGATGAAGACTACATAGGGACGCGTGTCACATGCCTCGCCACACTGTAGTGTTGACATTGGTTTGAGTGGCGCTGACTACTGGCGGGGGAGTGAGATCTGGAGCTGCGCTCATGGCAAAGAACATGTCAAAGGAAGGGCTAATAAATCATGTCTTGTTACATTTAATCTTCTATCTTCACTAGTTCATAAACGCAACAAACACGTGCCGTGTACGTAGAGAATTTTAGACAGCCTGAAAACGGACGCGTTTCTTATGGAGAGCGCGGGCCTGAGGTTTGGTCCAAAGGTTTGGAACGAACTTCACTGAAAGTCAAGCTGCACTCTCAAGAAACATGAAGCAACTAAACAAGGACAAGATTTATTCACACTGTGCAAGAAGAGATATCGAGTGGTATGGGGCGCCGTTTGGGACATGATTATTACCATTGAGATTTGTCATTTTTACTATTTTTACTACTGAGATTTTTCATTTTCACTACTGAGATTTTTCATTTTCACTACTGAGATTTTTCATTTTCACTTAGCTCCCCCCCCCCCCCCGCCTTTTGTTTTTTTTTTTAGAGGGGGGCGCGAGAT